ATGAGGTCATGGAGGGCTCATGAGAAAACCCTGGAGGCCCTTCGAAGCTTCTGGGGGCACTTGGATGTACTGGGAACTCCTCTAGGCTACTTGCGTCCCCTGGGGCCTCCACGAGTCGCATTGGCTACCTCCTGGACGCGCCTGGAATCTGGAGGCGTTTGGAGGCCCCTGGAAGTGATGATGCTGCAGGAAGCCACATGGGACCCCTCTGGAAGCCCTCAACTTCTGGACGGAGGCGGATTGGGAGAAGTGGGAGTGCGGCGGTGACTTCACTAGTGAAACCATTGATGCCAACCCAATGCGTTACAACATCCTTTCACGTTGCCGTAGAGCTGAGGCTGGCGAGCGATGCGGCAAGAGCGCTTGCGCCAACAACTGAAGCAACCTTCAAGCATCAACCCAGCGGGGTGGCAGAAGGGAACGACAGCATCGGCCGCAGCGAGCCTCCCTTGGACACGCTAAGACGAAGACAATAAAACAAGACCAAGGAGGAAACGGAGGAGCGGTACAATGAGCAGTAGGAGCAGGAGGAGAAGGATGATCAGTAGGAGCAGGAGCAAGGATAGGACGAACAAGATAACAAGAAGCAATGGAGCAGGATGAGCAATGGGAGCCAGCTCGAACGAATCATTGAATCCCTCCCACCCCCACCCGCCCATACACGACATACGAAGCGGTGCTGACACATTTGCGTGGGTAGATGCAAGCATTTCGAATGTCGTGGTTGCTGCACCTGTTGTGCTCCGTGGGGAGGCCACTCAAACGGGGCCGGAGTCAGTGAGGTCGGAGGATCGCGCCGCATCGCCGATGCATTCCCAATGCATCGGCGACGTCGAGGTGGAGAAGGTCGGGCTCCCGATGAAACCGCATGGCCGATGCACTGGCAAAGCGGCGTGATCTTCCGACTCGATCTGCTCCAGACCCGTCTGGGCTGCCTGGAACTGCTACCATCGCCTGACTCCGCCGAGCTACGATAGGGTGAGATGATTAGTGGACCCCCCCCCGCTCCCCCAAACTCAAAGTTGGCACGCGCGGGAAAGACTGCGGTCGAAGTGCAAGTCGGCAGGCCCGCCGCCAACTTTGAACTTTGGGGGGAGGGGGAGGCGTTGACCGAAGAAAGTGGCATGGGTGTTCGCTATTTTGTCCGAAGCCTGTACTCATTCGCCTGGTAATGGGGGGTTAGACTACTGGGGGTCAGAGTCAGCGGAGGGCAAACTAAGGAAAACTGACTTTCCGAGAAGAATACTGTCTTGGGCCAAGTACTTCCAAAGGAACTGCCCAGGATAAAGCGAGGAAGGCATCGCTTTTGATTAAACAATGCGACCCCGAATTAGGAACAAAACAGCAAACCTGAGCCGACCTTTTCCACACCCCAATGTAAGGCTGATCCCCAACAGCGGGCGAAGCCTGTACTGCCAGCCCCCACCAGCACCACCACCCCTGTCGCAACGCCACGCGCCCCCCCTGCGCGCGCTGCGGGTGCACCGAGGGCACCTCCCAGATCGCTGGGGCGCCTCGGCGCGCCTTGCTCCACGCACCCACCCCACGACACCTCGCTCGCGCTGCACACGCGCATCCATGAAGCGCCCAAAGCGTCAGACGCCAAGAAGATGCTAAAGACCGACGCTACCCCAGCTCGAAGAGGCCTGCGCTCGCGCTGTGGGCGCGACGCCCTGACGCTTAACGGTACACAACAGGGCTCAAAACCCGTCGGCGCATCCTCCGCACGGACTTCGCGCCGAGGGTGCGTTCTTGTGGACCCCGCGGCCCGCAAGATGACCTCGAGAGGCCCAATCTTGCAAAGGCCGGGCGCCTTGACCTGCAGAGGGTTGGCCCAGAGCAAACTGGACAGAGAGCAGAGGTCGAAGCAAAGACTGCAAACGCCTGCGCTCGTGAGAAGGACGTCTTATCATCCCACCCCTTCGTGCTGCCGAGTCCCACCCGCCGCGCGAATTGTGACAACGCGTAACGGCGCCGACAAAATAAACGAGTGGCGCCTCCAGGAACCCTTGCAGACAGCTTTGTGAGACGCCTGGTACGCGCCACGCCCAAAAGGGAATCACACACTTCTTCAACTGATGCGCGCGGCACCGATTCCGAGCGTCAGGTAGACGAAAAACCTCCGCCGCGCCAAAGCGAGAACAACGTTTCGCATTTGGGCGCCAGATCTGCGACGCACCCAGCTCACGCCATACATTTCGCAACATCAACGATACGACTGCAACGTTGAAAGGAAACGCGTCACCAATTGTTCCATGACGGGTACGATGGATGTTCCCAAGAATAATCGCAATCAGGGCAAGAACGGACAAACGAATATAGGAGGAGGGACCATACTCGTCCACTCACTGCCGGTATTCGAAAGAATGTCGGTGAAAGGTGCAACCAGTAGCGTGAGCCCTGTCCACTCATCGCACCCCCCTCTTAGGAGAAAACAACCTGTTCGCATCCTTGCGACGTGCCCCTGTCGGCTAACCAACACACGGGGCTCCCAAAGGCCCCCACACACTCTGTCCTGCCGTTAACCAGCTTTGAAGAACGAGCCCCGACCCCAATCCCAACGGACAGATCGCAGGGGGCAATGCTGTTCCTGATGGGCGACGAGCAGAGGCGGGTCTTACGCGAGACGACAGGCGACCTGACGCAGCGTCTTACGCGGGCCGCCACCGCGGCACGCTACATTGGAGACGAGGGCGCCCACGCGCGACCTTACGCGGACGACTCACGCGCCAATGTCGGCACAAACGGAACCGCGTTCCTGCTTCGCTCGAGTACCCCCAAGAATTTCAGGTCGCGGATGGTTTGGGTATATCCATGCGCTCTTCTCCTTGGGCCCCTCCTGGGTGCTCTTTGACCAGGATCTCAAGGCGAATCCAGGCGACGAGGGACGGGTATACTGGCATCGGTATCGTTTCCTCAGATGAATCAACACAGATCCGGGCGAAATCGTCCGAAAGGAATCCCTGGATCGCCATTCCGGCCAAATCTCGCTCAGGGCCTGGCCGTGGCTGCCGGGGACCTCCCAGGGACCCCCCGGGAAGACGGAAGACTCAGGCTAGGGGGACTCGGGCTTCGTGGACGAGACACCTATCCGTATCCGCGGCCTCGCGGGCTGGGCCCCTGGGCCGCGGATGCCCCGCATGGAATGTACTCGAGCGACCGCGAAGCCGCGAGGTCGCGCCCCGGCATGCAGACCGCGAGGGCGCAGATACGGGTATGGTCGCCGCTCGTGAGGGTTGGCCCGACGGGGCCGTCAGGAACATGGCGAGACCCAGCCCGAAGTTTGACGCGAGATGCTGCCGCAGACACCCCACGAAAACTGCGCCGTCCGCAAAAAATCGGAGACGGGCCCGTCGACGAGCGCCGGCGAGCCCAAGCTCAGGCGAACTCGAGTCTCACGCCTACCAGATCCAAGACGCCCGACGCAGGACTCGAGCTAAACAGCGTTTTTCGTGTTCGTTTTGTTTTCATCGTCCTTCGTTCTGCCTTCGTTCTGCCTTGGTTGCGAAGCGAAATCAGAACGAAAACGGCCCACGAAATCGCCAAAACACCGTTTAACTCGAGCCCTGCCCCGACGTCATGATCTTTTCCTGACGCGACCCTCAGAGGTCTCGACCCATTCCTCGAGACCGGCCCTTTCCATCCTGAGCAGTTGCTCGACGGCCCTGAGGCCCAGTGAGGGCCTCGAGAGGCCGAACAAAAGTTAAAAAACTCCCGTCGCGATTTCTTTATGGCCCGACACGAGTTCGGTGGCAACTCATGGGAGCCTCCCGTACCATCGTGTCGGTTCTTGCGAATAGACGCCAGTCGACGCTAAGCCGACCCTAGTCGACGCTAAGTCCACGCTAATCGACGCGGGCCGACGCTAAATCGGCGCTATCTCATCGACTCCCAGACGCTTATCGACGATTATCGACCCTAAAATTCGGTCGGGCATGCCCCCTACAGGCGGATATTGGACGAAAGTTAAAAAATATCTAAAACATACTCCTCAAATAGCCAAACAATGCAAACAACTAATCGTCCTCAGACTATGTTTTGACTATTGTTTGATATTCCTCCTGTAGAGGGACAGGCCCGATTTAAAATTATGTGGGTATCGCCTCCGCCTCCTCCTCCTCTTCCTCCTCCTACTCCTCCTCATCATCATCCTCTTCCTCCTCCTCCTCCTCCTTCTCCTCCTTCTCCTTCTCCCCTCCTCCTCCTCCTCCTCCTCCTCCTCCTCCTCCTCCTCCTCCTCCTCCTCCCCTCCTCCCTCCCCTCCTCCTCCTCCTCCTCCTCCTCCTCCTCCGCCTCCTCCTCCCCCTCCTCCTCCCCCTCCTCCTCCAGGATCCCATGGCCGGACCCTCCCAGCGGCGCCGCTCGTAGCTGTCCGCGAGCTGGCCCGCCCCGCAGGCCGGCGCGCCGTCGGCTGCGAGGGCCTCGCGCGGGCACCGTCGCGCCGCCGCTTGGGACGCCCTCCAGAAATAAAATCCTCTATCGCCCCATGTCCAGACCTAAATTAGTGGTTTCCTAGATGGGGTCGGAGTAAGTGTGGTCGGGGGATCGCGACGCCTCGCCGATCCATCGGCGATACATCGGGGATGCATCGGCGATGCATCGGCGATGCACTGGCGATGCACTGGCGACGTCGGCAACGCATCCGCGACGTCGGCGTGCAGAAAATCGGGCTCCACATCGAGCCGCATCGCCGATGCATCGGCGATGCGGCGCAATCCTCCGACCCCATCTACTCGGACCACATCTGAGAGATCCAGACCTTAGTGGGCCCCGGAAACGGCAGAGCCGTTTCTCCACCGTTTCCGAAAAAATGTCCCTTGATAATGGAAGCGGGAAAACAACGGCGACAGGAAACGGGACAAAAACAGCTCCAGGATTGGAACCGGGGCCGGAACCGGTAAAAAAACAGCGACGGGGCCGGTGAAAAAACGGCATCGGAACCGGCAACAAAAAGCAGAACGGAACTGGGGGAAAAAACTGCCCTGTCGTTTCCAGGGCCCACCAAGGTCCAGGCGTGCTCGCGTCGTGGGTCAAACGGGACGGGGTAGGCTGTTTGTCGCTTTCGGCCTCAGGGGGTCCTCGGCGGGCCCTGAGACCGTCAAGAAATGACTCAGGACGAGCAGCGGCCCCGGGGAAAGGGTCGGGCGGGACTTCTGGGGACCCCGCACGGAGGAAATCAGGACATCGCATGCCTGGTTGGCATGCCGCCACGCAGAGGCGATTTTGCTGGGGGCATCTTGAGAACCAGACTTCTGGTTCCATTCCATGCCGCCGGGAAGTGCCGAGTTCGTTTGAGGGCCGCTGGAATACGGGGGATCGATGGGAAATCGAAGATCAGGGATCGAGGATCTGGGACCGATCAAGGGTTGAAGATCCAGGATCAATCAAAAAGCAAAGATCTAGGAACGAGTTTCTTCGTAGACTGACGACCTGGACCATCGAATCCAGGGTGTGGTAGAGGGAAGGGCGGGTAATTGGGAGCTGGCCCCAGCCAGTGCGCCTTGGGCTGCTGCAGCAGCTGCTGCGACATCGGGCCGCTCACCTGGGAGGGAGAGGCTGCCCCGTCAACCAGAACCGAGGGGCAGGGGGGGCCAGTGTGCCCCCGCCCTACCCCCTATTGGTCCCCATGCGAGCCAGCGTGGACAGCAAACAGTATGTGAGCACTGTGGATGCATGAGCTATCTGATGCAGCCTACGTGGTGCAAGCGATGTGATGCAAACTATGTGATGTATGCCATGTGGTGCAAGCTACGTGATGCAACCTCGACGGACCATCGTAGCCTGGCGGGCGGCATCGAGGCGGCAACGGGCGGAAACGCGGCGAAACCTCGACGGACCCATCCAAGTGTGCGGCAACGAGGCGGCAACGCGGCGGCAACTGGCGGCGGCGCGGCGGCCACGAGGCGGCGACGCGGCGAAACCTCGACGGACCCCCCAAGTGGGCGGCGACGAGGCGGCAACGAGCGGCTACGTGGCAAAAACCTTGACTGGCCCATCCGAGTGGGCGGCAAGGAGGCGGCCACGGGCGGCCTTTAAGTGCAAGCACGCTCTGGGGAATGCTACGAGGCATGCGGGCGGACGGAGGCGAGAAGCGAGAAGGGACGAGCGACGCAGAGTACGCCAAGGGCCAGGAGGCTGATGAGACCGTGAAACAACACCAACGGAGCACTGGACGGAGTCACATTGCGGGAAGAAAAGCGCGCGTCCAGCAGAGGATGGAGCCCAAGGCGTGGGTCCTAGACAGCCTGGTTCCAGAACTTCACGTGCCCGAATTGGCCAGCGGGCCAAAGTAAGACATGCCCTACCCCCAGACGGCCCCACAGGGCCCCAAGACGGCCCAGGAAGACTTCCCACAGGTTCCTAAGAGAGCCCAAAGGGGGCCCCAAGAAGCTCCCCAAAGGGCCCCAAGAGGCCCTAAAGAAAGCCCCAAGACGGCCCAAGACCTCCAAGACGCCCCAAGACTGCCTAAAAGGGCCCCAGAACGGCCCAAGAGGACCCCAAGAGGGTCCCGCCCCAACAGGACAGCCAAGAAGGCCCAGCGACGCCAAATTCGCCGGCCCAACGGGCCAGAGGCGTGCTAAGATCTCCGGCAACTACTTAACAATGTTTCTAGTTCGCGCGCGCGGGGCGGCCCCTGGGGGGCCCCAGACGAAAAATACCCCGGCCGATCCCCGGCTGACCCCCGGGCGATCCCCAGGGTGGAGGCTATTTTTCGCCACCCCTCACGAGGATCGTGGCCTCCGAGGGGGGGGCTGCCAACGACTACCCCCCCTCGCGCCTCAAGGGGCCCCCACGAGCCCCCCAAGAGGCCCCAGGGGAGCCCAATACGCCGCCAAGGAGCCCCAAGACGCTCCCAAGAAGCCCCTAAGAAGCCCCCAAGACGGCCCCACGAGGCCCCAAATAGCGCTCCAGGGCCGGCGGAATGAGCGAAGCGATTAAATAATAGAGGCTCCCCAGAGCACACATTGACGTGACAAGCTTGTAACACCAGGGCTCTCAAGAGCAGTGACGTAAACAAGTCTGAACGAGCACCAAGGCTACCAAGAGCGAGAGGTGGCGTGACAAGCTCTGAACACCAAGGCTTCCCAAAGCCCCTGATGAGATGACAAGCTCTTAACACCGAGGATCCCAGGAGCGAGCGGTGCTGTAAACAGCTCTGACCAGCCAGGCTCAAAAGAGCGAATGGTGACGTAAAAAACTCTGACCACCAAGGTTTCCAAGAGCCCATAGTGACGCGATAAGCTGTGAACACTGAGGCTCCCAACAGCGACGGTGACGTGAAACGGTCTGCACACCAAGGGTCCCACAGGCTCACGCTGCCGTGACAAGCTCGTACCACAAAGGTCACCAAGGGCGAGCGGTAACGTACACAGCTCTGAACAACAAGGCTCCCAAGAGTGAACGGTGCCACGAGTCATCTCAGGGACGTGCCTGAGACGCTCTTTCCGTTCCCGTGCCGGCCCAGTCGAACACGCCTGTGACCCTCGAGCCACGCACGGTGGCAGGATGCACCGACGGAGATTCGTTGCGGGCGTGCTCCGTTGAGCGTTGTCTTGCAACTACCCTATTCACGCGCCAGCTCAGGGAACGGGGCGCCACCCACAACCTTCTCAGCCCTGGCGAGCACACAGGCGAAATGAAGGAACCGATTGAATAGTCTCTGCACTGCCACCGCATCTGAGGTGTGTTGCGCGCCTCTTGCGCTGCTGCAGCTTGATCCGCACCAGCCCTGCTGCTGCCGCTGCTCCATTATGCCCACGCTTGCTCCTCCTGGTTCCTTTGTTGGCTTCGACTCCGGCCTCGCGACCGACCGATCGACCGAGGAGGGGGAGGCCGAGGAGAAGCAGCAGGCCGAGGAGGATAAGACGACGACGACGACGACGGAGACGAAGATCACAAGACCGCCTGACTTCGCACCTCGCACCGCAACACGAGCGACGCGCATTCATCTTGGTTTCAGCAGGGACCGACTGTCCCGGCAGTCCTGTAGGCCTCCCACGAAATGTTCTTAGAACCCAAAACTGTTGTGAGAACAGAAACGATGTCCTCAGAACAGAACACCGATGTGCTGAAGAAGACGGTCTCAGCCAGAAGCGTTCTACGAACATTGTGTCCAGACCACGAAGGACCCTTAGAAAATTTTCTGGTGGACCTATAGGAAGATCTGGACGCTTCGCCACTGCTCGATTGGCGCTCTCGCGCCGTCCCCTGTCGGGGATCTTCTGACCCGGGTCAATCCAGACCCGGGTCAAACAAGCCTTGCAGAATCCCGCGAGATCCTGCACCCGAACCCGGGTCAATGCGAAGGATCGCGCAAGATCCTGCGCAGGATCCTGCAGTCAGACCTGGGTCCATGCGACCCTGCTCCTGCAGGGTCCTGCAAGATCTGGCGATCTGGCTGACCCCCCCTTGCCTGGACCCCCGTCTCAGGGCTCCCGACCCTGGAGAAGAGCGCGGGTGCCCGGCCCAGACCGCGAGACCGGCCGACCGCGGACACGCCGTCGCGCCCCCGCGGCCCGCCCCGAGGCCGCGGGGCGCCGCCTGCTCCGGGGGAGAAGATGTCATGAGAGGATCTGGAGGCGTGGATGCCATGACAGTGGGCACTCCAACACTCCGATCCTTGAATCAAACATGTGTTGAAAATGTGTAAAGCATGTTCCAAAACATGTTTCAAACCTGTCATTAGATATTTAGAACATGCTTGAAACGTTTTTAGACATCCGGGAATTGTTTCGCAGCGCGCTTCCTCTCCATTCATCGACTTCCACAAAGCTAGAGGCCTCCTATAGATGGGGTCCGAGTAGATGGGGTCGAAGAATCGCCCTGCATCGGCGATGCAGCAGCGACGCCGGCGTGTGGAAGCACGGGCTCCACATCGAGCCGCATCCTCGATGCCTCGGCGATGCGGCGCGATCCTCCGATCCCATCTACTCGGACCCCACCCAGGAGGCCTGGAGAATCGGCTCGGGCTGCCTGCCGAGCTCCTCGGAGCATCGGGCGGCGCAGCAGGTGCGGAGCAGGAGGAAGCGGGGACGCTCCCAGGACCCCCGACGTCAAGATCTTCCGGGTCGCGACCCCCGGAGGTCCGGGCCCTTTCCCCGGGCCCGGCTTTTCCTCCTGAGTCGTTTTTCGACGGTCCCGAGGGCCCATAAGGGCCCCCAGAGGCCTAGAATATGGACAAACCTCCTGTCGCTCTTTTTCGTGACTCGGGGGGGTCTGGGCCCTGGGAACCTTGGAACTCCTGAAAGTGCCACTATCAAGACCTCGTTGCTCCTCTGCCCTTCCGGGGCACCCGCGCCTGGGGAAACAAAAAAAGGTACCAATAGCGCTACTCCCCGGACCTTTCCTGGGGTGCGTTCTGACCAGGATTCCGAGGCGGATCCGACAGTGGCGACGAGGGCCTCCAAGAATGCCCAAAAAGGGGAGCACGAGGGCAGGGTAGGGGTCCTGCCTGCGCCTAGGAAAAAAAAAGGGCAATAAACATAAGCTTTTGGCGCTCCGCGTGGAGTTTTTGGATCCGCGCTGGACCCCCCTCCCTGGCGCGCGGATCGCGCGGAGGCGCCGCCAGCGGGCCCGGCGCGGATCCAAGAAATCCGCGCGGAGCGCCAACAGTTTATGGTTATGGCGTTGCTCCTTCTTCGACGGCCTGCTCTGACTTGCAGCCCGAAGGCCCGAATTTCAGCCTCGGGTTTGGGGTGGGGTACGGGTTCCATACGTGTTTTCTCACATGTTCGTTATCGGGGTCATGGAGAAGGCGCTCCTTTGCAAGTACGTCGGCTTCGGCACCGCCTGATTCCGAGGCTTTGCCTCCTCCCGGCCTCGTTCTGAGGCTGCGCCCCCCTTTTCCTCCCCCATCCCTGATTAATTCAAGCTTCGCGCGGCCCGCTTAGCTTCGATCGGAAGAGGTGCGCTCTCGACCCGCGAATCAAAAAAAAAATATCTTCTCAAATGTCTGTGGTGACTGCCTGTTGGTCCTGCCAGGGCGCCCGCGCCAGCGCGGTGGACAGCGCGGAGTTCGGCTCGCCGATCAGCGGCGGCAGCGGCCCGCTCGGCGCGAGGTGCTCCCAGCACTCCGCGGCGCCGCCCGGCGGCCAGAGGTCGCCCGCGGGCCGCACCTCGAGCGCGAGGCCCTCCTCCTGCCGGGCTGCTGCTCGCGCGCAGGGAGCGACCCGGACCGCCTCGCGTCACGAGAGGATCCTGAAGTCGGGCCTGTCCCCCTACAGGGGGATTTTCGACGAAAAATAAGGGATACCAAAAAAATAATCAAAAAGTCCCCAAAATAGTCTTGGGGACTATCTTTTAGATATTTGTTTACCTTTTTGGTGCATGTTTGGAGAAATTTGTTTTCCGTCGAAAATCCCCCTGTAAGGGGACACGCCCGACATAAAAGTATCCTGGCGACGGACCCACCCACGCGCAGCTGTGAATGCCGCGTTGCGGGTACCACTTTCGGTGGAACTCCCCACTGGGTCCCGGGAGCCGTGTGAGGAGTGTGCCAGAATGGGGGCGTCGGGCGCATGCGGCCTGTGCCACTGGGGCCTCCGGTGGAGCTCCCCATGGGGCCAGGAACCGTGTGAGGGGTGTGCCAGAATGGGCGTTGGGCGCATGCGGCCTGTGCCACTTGGGCCTTCGGTGGAAATCCTTATGGGGCCGCGAACCGTCTGAGGTGTGTGCCAAAATGGGGGCGTCGGGCGCATGCGGCCTGTTCCACTGGGGCCTTCGGTGGAGCTCCCTATGGGGCCACGATCTTCGTGATGGGTGTGCCGAAAGTGTAGACATGAGGAGAGGAGAGGCATGGGATGGGAGGAGGGAGGAAGAGGAGAGGAGGAGGAGGAGGACGGAAGGAACGCGGGGCGCTGTTCTTTCAAAATGAGGACCCAATACCACAGGATCGTTGGGAAAAACCACGACGAAAGGTTTTTCGCTACTTTCGGCCTCTGGGAGCTCTTACTGGCCCTCGGGACCGTCAAAAAACGACTCGGGATGAGAAACCGGTCCCGGGGAAGTGTCAGGATCTCTGGGGGTCTCGTCATTAAAAAATCATGACGTCGGGGGTCTGGGAGTGAGTGTGGAGGCGCTGCTGACGAATGTCAGCGGAGGGGAGGGAAAGGGAGAGAGAGCGATGCCGTACAATCGAGGCCGATTGGACAGTAAACGCGAGAACACACCAAACCCTTCCGAGGGCCACATTGCCATAGGAATGTGGAAGGCACGAGTCGCGAACACACAGGACACAAGGGTATCCTTGATTTGACAGGGTCGACCTACCAATTGACCTCGACTGTAGGCCCGCCGCAGATGCGGGCAAGATGGAGGAGGGATCGTCGGCAACTTGACGGGCTTGGGCGCAAAGTTAAAAAAGCCCGCCGCAGGCGCCGATTCGACACACTACACAGCGGCCCCGCCGCGGGCGCCCATCTTATCTGCCAGCACAGCGTGGGTTGGTCGCGGATGGATATGTGGCGGGTCGGCGGGCGAATCGCGCGGCCGGTCGTGGGCGGGCCGCGGGTGGGCCGCGGGGCAGGTCGCGGGCGCGGGTGGGACGTGGATGGGTCGCGGGCGGGTCGCGGAAGGTCGAGGAGCAGGTCGCGTGGTGGTCGCAGGTGGGTCTCGGCGAGGGGCCGGCAAGAATAATGATAATAATCATCAGGTTAACAGCAACAGCAGCAATGATAACAACAATAAGGACATGAGCCCGCACCACGTGAACGCACTTCAGCCGCGCACCCAGAAACAGCGCAAGACCGCTCGGCCCCCCACGCTCTGATGGCTACAGAGAGCGAGAGAGAGAGAGAGGCAGAGAGAGGGAGAGAGAGGGAGAGAGGTAGAGAGCGAGAGAGATACGGAAACAGAGAGGGCGAGAGAGAGAGAGAGAGGCCGAGCAGTGGAGAGAGAGGCACATGGGCCGCAGTCGGGGAAATGCCTGGGGGTGGAGCGTCCTCGGGGTGGAGCGTCCCCCGCGCCGTACTGAAAGCACTCGGGGTGGAGCGTCCTCGGGTCCCTTGTCGGGTTCTGTGGGCCGACGGCTGCAGGGACGGCTCGGGAGGCCCGGGGCCCCAACGGCCAGATCGGGGAGGCGGAGGAAGAGGGGCAACAAGAGAAGCAGGAGGGGAGGAAGAGGGGAGAGGGAGGGGGGAGTCGTCCGTGCGCTCCTCTGCCACCAGGAGAGGGAGGGCGCGCACGAAGGGGGGGCGCACGTGCGAAGAGCAGCCGTTGCGGCGTGGAGCACTGGAGCTGCTGGGGGGGGGCGGGGGCGGGGAGGCGGAGGACGAGCAGGAGGGAATGGGGGGACAACGGACAGCAGGACCAACGAAAAAGACAGACGGGCGGACAAAGACGAAGGCGGAGAGACTCCTGGCGCGGCTCCGCGTCGCCGTCTGCGGGCGAATCATTGGGCGAGGCGGCTTCCATCAGGAGCCCGTCGGCCAGGCGCTTGGCATGCTGCACCTGCGGGGCTGCACACCGTCGTCGTCGTCGTCGTCGTCGTCGTCGTTGTCGTCGTCGTATATTTACTAATATCTCTATATATATATATATACATACTTACATACATACTTACATACTTACATACTTACATACTTACATACTTACATACTTACATACTTACATACATACATACATACATACATACATACATACATAACTACATACCCACATACCTACATATCTACATACCTACATACCTACAGACATACATACCTACATACATACATACCTACCTACCTGCCTACATACGTACATATATACGTACATACACATGCATGCATGCCTGCATGCATGCATGCATGCATGCATACACACATACATACATACATGCATGCATGCATGCATGCATGCATGCAGGCATGCATGCATGCATACATACATACATACATACATACATACATACATACATGCATGCATACATACATACATACATACGTGCGTGCGTACGTGCCGGCATACATACATGCATGCATACATACATACATGTAGTAGCCTCTGCTGGTCTGACCACAAGACGCGTCGGTAGGGCTGGCAAGGCATTTCGCCTGAGATGACCCCCGAACTTGCAATGTCCAGCTACACGGGGTTGGAGGATTCGTCTGTTTAGCACTTCCGAAACATACGGGTGGATCACAGGCTGTTTTCAATGGATGGCTCTCTCCTCAGCGCTGCGCGTAGTCGTCTTAAAATTGCCAACAGTTACACGGGTGGAGGGGGGTATTTTCAGAATGTGGTTCTCGCCTCAGCGCTGCACACATTCGTCATACAAGCTCCCAAAAACTAAATACACGGATGGAAAGCGGCTCCTGCCCAATTGTGAGCTTTCAGTTGAGCCTTCCGTGATCCTTGCGACCAGATGATTGCAATCGTGCAACCCCTATAGAGGGCAGGGAATCCACCCCCATGAGAAATTCACCCCGACACGCGAAGCCGTTTAGTAAACGCGCCCAAGGAAGGAATCGAACAGGGTGGGGCTGCTTAGTGAACGCCCAGGGCCGTTCGGTAAACGTCGATTGTCGGGTCCGGGTGGTTTTCCCTCCCTTGACTCTACACGGCTGGAGAGCGGTTCCTTTACACATCGGGGCCCTCGCTTGAGACCTCCTCTGGCTTCATGGTCGAGCGCTAGGAATAGGGTGAAACTTGGGCGGGCTGAGGCCGCCTCGTTTTCAAAGCGGGGCTCTCGCTTGAGACCTCCTCTGGCTTTGTGGTCGAGCGCTAAGAGCAAGGTGAAGATTGGGCGGGCCGAGGCCGCCTCGTTTTCAGAGCGGGGCTCTCGCTGGACACATCTTCGCCATCGTCGCCGTCGCCGTCGCCGCCCCACGCCAAACCTGGCGTGGGGGGGGGGGGGGGGGGCACGTGGAGCCCTGGGACCCATCCCGTCTGGGGGGGGGGGGGGGGGGGGCTCTGAGCCCAGGAGCATCTGCGCCACCCTGCCCCCTCCCGCCCATCCCTTTCCACTACGCTGAAGGATTTCCCGCACAGTGCTTGCACTTAAGGATTCTTACCTCGTTGACCTCAAGAACCGAATGGGTACGGCAACATCTCGCCACGCTGCCAGCCCGCGCCGCCTCGTGGGCGCCCACCGCGCGTGGGGGGAATGCCGAGGCTGCGCCACGTTGCCGCCCGTGTCGCCTCGTGGCCTCCCCGCGCTCGGCGGGTGTGCTGGGTCTTCGCGATGCTGTGGAGCGTGCCGCCTCGTGGGCGCTTCGTCGGAGCCCCGCGCGTTGGGGGGCATGTCGGCGTCTCGCCGCGTTGCCACCCGTGCCGCCTCGTGGGCGCCCGCCGCTTAGGGGGTTGCACCGCCCATGTCGCCTCGTGGGCGCCTCGTGGGCGCCCCGTGCTCTGAGCTTACACGGCGTAGCTCGCACCCAACGGTTTGAACCGCACAGCTTTCTCAACTGACCCGCACGGCATCACTTGCACAACGCAGCTTGCATCACACAGCCTGCACCCCAGAGCTGTCCCCCCCAGCTCACACCGCATAGCTTACACGACCAAGCCTACTCCACGTAGCTTACACCGATTATTTTTCACCTCCGTAGCTCACACCACGTAGCTGACACGATATAGCGTTCACCACATAGCTTGTATCGCAGACGGTCCACCTCTAAAATGCAATAACGCACTGCTCGGGGTCCACGCTGGCTGACATGCTGTATCCGCCGCTGGGATGTTCTAGAGAACCCTGGACTTGGAGGAGCAGGAGGGCCAGTGAAAGGCGGAGGAGGGGGAAGGAGGTGGTCAGCAACGACGAGGAGGGAATCAGCCCCATAAGGGTTGCCAACGCTGGGGCGAGAGCGCCGCTCTCAATGACTGGAGGAAGATGACAATACTGAAACGTGGCCAACGCTGCAGCGGGAGTGCTAGCTTGAAGGGCCGAGAACGTTCACACTGAAAAGAACAGCATTGTGAGCCACATACATACGGTCGAACTGCTGCCACAAGGAATCCTAAATGAGGAACGAGGTCACAAGTTGAACTTCGATTGCCCATGGTAGACCGAAGGAACACCTA